GATGGGTGTACAAATGCCCTAGTTTGTGGCAGTGTTAAACACCTACCTGAATAAATAAGTTTAAGAGGAGAGCAACAGACAAACTAGGGGCAGACCAACTGTTTGGTGGAAGGATGTTCCATAATCTTGTAGCCACCACCACAAAAAAAAAAAAACTGATAATTTCAGAAGGATAATTTCAAGGTAGATTTTTCCACGGTATGTCGTCATAACGTGTAGGAACAGTGGAGAAATCAGAGGCGTCATATGCCAAAAAACGTAAGTATAATGAAAACTAACTTCTCGTCATAAGTATCAGCATATTAACTCACATGGTATGCCTGTCTTTTAAAGGGGCAGTAGTTTTATGGGTGTTCTTTTGTTCTTGTTTTTATGTATTTTCTGTTTTTATTGTTTTGTTTTAAACTGTTCTTTTATTGCTTTTATTTGTTTTGAACCTGGACCTTGAGTCTGTAATAAAGTGTCATTCATTCACATGCTCTTAACACTTAACACTACTGTGTGGCTGCGTGTGTGTGTTTGTACTGTTGTTTGTGGTTCAAAGTGATGTGTGAGCTCTGTAGATGCATGTAGTCATACTGATGTGGGTTGAAATGAAACTCATTGTATGACTTGTTTTTTTTTTTTTATTTAGTTATTTTCTCCCATTTTCTGCCCTTTCCCCACCGTGCACTGTGCATGTGTGGCATACACATATTTCTGCTTTTGAAAATTCATCTCTTGGATGCTTTGTTGGCTCAGCAGTGCATGTACAGCAATGGTGGATTTCAGTATGGCCAAAGTGTGCTATATGTCATCATGTCTTCTATTACTCTCTGCTGTCGAGTCACTTAAAAACACTAACTGAAACAAAAAGCCATGATATTTTAAACTAATGTTTAGCTATCTGTTGTCCAGTTAAGGAGTTCTATCTAGTTCATGCTAGGCTAAGCTAAACCACTTTAAATAAGTGAGTGAATAACAAATTAATAAACAACTTTTAATTAATATGTGCAGTTTTTACTGCCAGTATCCTTGAGTCACATTTAGTGTGAGGGCCTCAGGTTTTATATAAACTTAAATAAACAGATAGCACCCAGCAGAGCTTGCCGCTATCCCCTCCAGTGATTAGCGACTGTCAACTTAAGGGCACTGTTGAATGTTCACAATAGTTAATATGTCATAAATAATTCCTCATTAACATTTTATTTCAGGCAATAAGCATTTTCAAGCTTCAGCTTTAAATGGTAAAGTATCTACCTCTTGCCGCTTCTCAGCAACAGTTAATCTGTCCCTTCAATTTCTGTAAAAAACATGTCTCAGCAGTTGTGCTAAACTGTGCCATGTACCATGTTGTTGCATGTTTCCACTCAGAGGTTGCACTCTGTGTTTTGAGATCACACGTACACAGCCCACACTTACGTTGGCCTTTGGTGTGAAAGGTTTATCTAAGCAACTTCTTCAAAATGTTTTGCTGTGAAAACAACCCTATCTAACTCTTCTTTTGGAAAAAATAAGAGTTGTGAAGAAATTTTATTTTTATTAGTTTGAACCTCAAATTAAGTCAAACCATGACTTTTATTTAGACCCTTGATCAGTTGTTCCATTTTGTTTAACTTGGTCAAAACTGTGACCTTCTGGAATTAATGAGCCAGTAAAAAAATTGCATGTGTCTTTTACACAGTACATGTAAAAGAAGATGTGTGACTGCTGAGAAAGTATATATCACAGTCTTAGCCCTCAGTTTCCTCTTTTTGAGTTCCTTCTTTACTGGTATCAATAGTATCAGTTATTGATCTTAGATTTAAAGAAGAAAACTGAACACCACAAATCCCAACAGCAGTTTTTTATGCTGACGTTAGAATCACTGGCCACATAAATAACAACCCATTTAACTTTTCAAACCATAGTTGTATTACAAGACCTCCACAGAAAAACTGCTTCTTATCACACAGTACATTTTATCATGAGATACGTACAGTGAAGATGAAGGAGATAGTGTCACTAAGCCAAAGCACATTCTATGCTACTCCAATGAGCCACGACTATCACATGTTCAAACAAATTTTTAAAAAGGGTTAAAAGTCTAAAAATGTGTCGGTTCTATAAGCATTGCTATAAATGATAAGGGATTATATAGCAAACAGACACAAAGGTAAACAGAAAAAAAACAGGAGATGGAAGAAGGTATCAAGTGGAAACAAATGAGTGAAGTGAATAGCTGGGGGAAAAGATGATTCTATGAATGTCTGTGTTGTGAGTCAGAGTTTTATCTGGCATCTTACATCACTTTGAACTTGATAAAAAGCACCAGGGCCTCAGCAGCAGCCTCCCTTTTGCAGCTCATTTGGAACAGGAAGCCAGAGGGAAGCGTTGAGAGGAAGTGGGTTGTGACGTTCATTGGCCTGCTGCTTCTGGTCTATTGTTTTGTATCTGCCTATGTGCCACATGGGGCTAATAGTCATGTTTGAGAAGTACCAGATTACATGTGAAAGGGAAACAGTAACCAAGTAATTATACTGGAAACCTGAATTTTTGTACTGTGACTGCTGTAGTTTGATAAATCTTAGGAAGAGGACTAAGTCAGGATAAGTTGATACTGTTTCTAGGTCTTGATTTTGTCAAAACCCCTGATATCTAGGTTATTAGAGTTAACACCAAAAAGAGACAGATGTTTTTTTGCTTCAAGCTTTCCTTTGAATCAGCAACAGAAGCAGGTCATTATGCTGAGAGCATCAGGAGGTTGATATGTATTGAGATTTTATCCTAAAACTTTAAAAAATGCGAGCGCACACAGGTGTTTTATTTGTGTTTATTTTATTCAGGCTGATTCAGCTTCTACTTGTTGAATTAGACTGAGCTACACTGATATTAAACATGATAAAAGTGTGATGCAATGCTAATGGTGGAGTCGGAGAGAGAGACATCATCCAAGTTCAGCCTGTGCAAACCCACACATAAAAGTTCATAGTTTGACCCAAGAAATTTAATTCATCTGCTGAAAGGGGAACATTCTGTGCTCACCTTGAATCTGAGTTTAAGACACAAACAGGAACTTATGTACTTGTGCAAGTATGATGTTAAAACTTGAAGCCGTTAGTACTCTAAGAATATTGCAATGTTGCTAGATGGTACACCTTTCAAATGAAAATGACATGCTTATACATTTTGGATTAAATTGATAGCAAGTAGTTGGCTGAACTTTGTGTAGAAAAAAAGCACATCACAGAACACACAGGGAATTTTTAAAGCTGAAATCCAAAGCTTTTCACAAGTTCAACAACAGCAAAGCTGGTACTTTGTCTAGTTTGTGAAGTTGTGTCACTTTGTGGTTGTTATGCAGTTAAAGTGTTATATACAACAAGGTAGCTTGAGCATGCTTGCAAAACACAAAACTATTTTTTTTTCCATGTGTGACTCTTGTGCTGTTTGCAGAAAGACAAAGCCTGTGGAGGAAGAGGGGCCTGACAGGAGTGATGATGGGCTGTTCCCATTTGAGGAGGGCTCTAGTGAAGGCTCTGCAGCTGAGGGTCCATTCATGGAGGATCAGGCCTCCCTGACTTTTCTGAGCGAGACAGGCTCTGGAGAGTCAGACACAGAGGAAAGCAAAGGTAAATTTTAGTTTTCCACATCCTCCATGACTACATCCCCCTGTGTCTCCGCTTCTTCTGGTCTGATCTGTCCTTGTTGTCTGCTTACAGCTGAGGATATGTGGGGCAAAAGGTCTTTAGAGGGTGAGGCACAACCAGCAGAGCAGGAGCTGCAAGAAGACTACCTTTTGCAGCTGTAAACCGTACATCCACCCTCTCACAGATACACACAGCCAAGGCCAGCATCCATTCTATTTGCACCCTGTCAATTCAAACACATACTGCATCACCACCTGGTGGTGGAAAACCGTGGTCACTCAGACTGACTAGGCCAAATATAGATTTTTTTTACTCTCTCCATGGGCCAAAGAACAACTGTAACCAATGTAAACGTAGCTGCCAAAGTAAAAGATTGTCTGCATAAAGACATTTTAACTTGGTCTAAGTTGGCAGTGTCCTCCTGTATTTGTGCTTTCTTGTTGAAAAGATGTGTTAAGGTGAAGCTTTTTAACATAGAATTTGAAATATGCATTCAAATATCAGTACATCTCTGTCCACACTTTGCTCACTTTATACAGCTATAGCTCCATCCATTTTCTGGAACTATGAGGCACGTGTTTCTTTAAGACACACAAAACAAAGACTTATTTATATTATTTGATCCCTTTGTCTGAAATGTTGTGATGCTTTACATTTAGCTAGGACAGTTATGCAGCCTTTCATGGGAATTTCTGGTCCACAAGTCCAAGCTAGAGAACCTTGCACACCTAAACCCCTTGGGAATGGACCACTGTATATGTATTACACATAAGCATGCACTTTGACATGCTCCGTCTTGTCTAATTTGCATTTGAAATACTTATGTCAATAAAGAATTTAAAACAGTATTCTGCAGTGTTTGTGATTTTTCATCCCAACTCCTCTTTTATCTGTTCTGTTTACTGCTTATTATATTGCTTCAATTTGCTGGTTCTCAGGTTTACAGTGGCTGAAAGATAATACATTTACATAAGTACTATAGTTACTGTAAGTACAGTTACAAGGTATTTATACTTAAATGTTCTCATTTTCTGCTACTTAATACCTTGACTTCACTAAATTTCAGAGGCAAATATTGTACCTTTTAGTCCACTACATTTATTTGATAGCTTTAGTTACTTTTCAGAATCAGATTAAAAAACAATACACTTGTGGTTGAGTCCCCCTCACCAGGAGGGTGAGGGAGAACTGGGGTTGGACTCAATTGTGCTGACCCAGGTGCTAGTGGAAAAATGGTGGTTTACTGGAAAAAGAACACAAAGTAACATCATAAGAGAGTCAATGAATAATGCTGAACCAGGGGCAGGGTGGAGATGGTTGAGGAGACCAGTATGAGCAGAGAAGAAGACAGAAGAACGGCAGATGAGTAGCAGAAAACGAAGAACTCCAGGTATGGCAGGTGTAGCGCTAGCTGTCAGGTACCCACGGCTGGGAAGATCACTGTCAGATACGTACAGCAGCCACAAACAAAAAGAACACCACGTATGTCTATTGGCAACGCACAGGAACTGTCAGCGTTGCATAACTCACATACCTTGTGGCAAACCCATGGTACGAGAACAATCAATCGCACAGTAACTGTCAGCGTGAACGTAAACGTATGTAAAACAAAAACTCATGTCAACGCTTCGTAATGCTACGGCCCCGACGGAGCGTCTGCCCTAGGTTAACATAAGAAAAGAACTAATGAACTAACGCGTCTCAGCTGTGCGATCCAAACCACGAGTCACTAATTACCAAGGCGGCACAGCTGAGACTCAAGGTAGTTAACATTAGCTTCACCTGTACCAGCTGCAACATCAAAATTACACACACAATAATGCATCAATAATTATGATCCAGGAATATAATAGCCTGTACATTAATGTGACTTCTGCATGATGAGTTTACTTTTGATGCTTAAATTATTTGTTGATGTTAATACTTTTGTATATTTATCTAAGTAAAACTTTGAATGCAGGGTTTTTATTGGTAGCAGAGTATTTTTACACTGTGGTATTTCTACTTTTACTAGATCTGAGTACTTCTTCCATTACTGCAGAACTGGATAAATAAGGTTTAATGAGTTAGTCCTCTTCTGTTGCATCCTTCAGTTTTATACTTGCTAATAACATGAAGGATTATGTTTAGATGCTATATAGCTGTTATTGCGAAAAGACCTCTGCTTTTTAATATAAAGAGAATATGTGTAACTACTAGTTTGCCCACGTATTGTAGCCTAATGATGTGTCTCTGTGACATCACTGAATGTCATTTTATGATGGGTTAGGGTTTGGAAATGGTGTTGCTTGTTATGGGGCCCTGAAGGTTTATGACGGGATATAGCCCGTCATAAAGAAAAAAGACATGTCTGAGGAAGTTTATTAACAATGCTGTTATCAACTTGTCCACCAGAGGGCAATCGTGAATATTACTGTCGGTATAAGGTCCCGAGCAGTAAGGTAAACATGTAGCCTAGTTCTCACCAGACTTAAGTAAGGATTGTATGTAACATTGGGGAATAGATAGATAGATAGATGCCATAAACGGATCATTTTCTGATTATTAACCTCTAGAGTCCCTGCGTCCTCATATGAGGACCGCACAGCTTGGGTTTCCAAAGCTCAGGACTCTAGAGGTTAAGGTATGTGTACAGTGTCCGGTGTGACTTCTGAAACATGGATGTGTTAAGGGTGGGTTTTAACCCCCCCACCCCCCCCACCCCCGGCGTAAGTTCTGAGTGTAAAGACAAACAACCATTATAGAGTGAAATGAATAGAGGTGTTTATTCATAAAATCCCAGCATTGGAATTAACTCACAGTTTTGATTGACGGCAGCGCTTTTATTTTTAATTGAGGTCAAACATGATAGGAAAGCTAGCTGGGTTAGCCGCATTAGCATCAGTAATGTTACGAGGTCGCGTCTACTTTAGCATCGGTCTTTTGCCTAGCCAGCGGCTCAGCAGTTATGGTTGTGCATAACAGTAATGCCAGCTAAAAGTGTTGAATAACGAGTAATTGCAGCCTGCGTTATCAACGTTATTTAGACCTTACATTTGTTCTAATAATATATATGCCAGTTTTAGCTAACATTGGTATTAGCTCGGTGTTACGTGAAGTTGTATCGTATGTTGCAAGCTGATGTTGAACTAAAACTGCAATTTTTGAAGTTGTATTAACTATTTTTATGTATAAAGCGTGTGTTTGTTGGGAAAGTAATTGTTGATTATTGATTAACTTAGTTAAGTGGTATCGCATACATTGACAGTTGACATGCACTGATTTTCATGTAGCATCGTTGTGTTTACTACGTAAATTTTTTTTTGTGTAACTCGTTAGTTTGATTTGGAGGTTTCTTCCTATAGTTCTGTATATTATAGATGCACCCTCTCATGGGACACGATAAATTAAAGAACCCAACTGGTGTCCACCCATTGATTGGTCTCCTGACAGTTTGTTGATCGTGTTAGTTCCTCCAGATTTGCTGCTCATGCATGTTGAAGCATGTGTTTGTGACTTCGTGCCAGCTCAGAGGAAAATAATGCGCTAATGTGATTGTGTTAGTATGGATGTAACAGATCCTTCTCCTTGAGAATGGCTAGGGAGTGGGACTAAGGGGATTTGCATGGTGTCAGCTTCAGAGCACACCCATCAGTGGCATCCATTTGCACACAGTGAGAAATGCTATTTTTGTATTATTGCAGTACACATTACTTTGTCTGGCATCAGAGTCCACAGAGATGTTCAGTTCACTTCAATCTTTAATAGATGTGGTGGTTAGTGAATAATCAGCCTAATTCTTGTTTCATTTGTTTGTAGTTTGAAAACTTTGATATACTGTTTCAGCCTTTGATCAAGATTTTGATGATCAAGACATTTTGATGATGCATTTTTCAGTCATGTTTGAATTTGCTTAATATCTTGCTTGTGTGTATGCATGTATCATTAAGTTGTCAATTCTCCTAGACCTCATAAGACATGTCATTGAAAGCATGTCCAGCAAATGGGAACTTTAGGAACACTGAAGAGTTTAAAGTAACTGTCTTTACAAAATTAATACTGGAATGTTTTCTTCTGTTTATAATACACCCTAATTTAATGCGAGTAAAGGTTTAGTCACTTTACTTTTCAGACACCCCACTAATTAGTTAGCTTTGATTTGACTTTTGCACATGTTGAATATATTTCTGTTTGTAAGACTGTGTTTTCTGTGACATACTTTTTGTTTTCAGAGTTTCCTTGGAGGTTTGTTTGGGCCGGTATGTGAGATAGATGTGCTGCTGAATGATGCAGAGAACAGAAAGACGGCAGAGTTAAAGACAGAAGATGGGAAAGTGGAGAAACACTACTTGTTCTATGATGGAGAGTCTGTGTCTGGAAAGGTAAATTAGGTGCACAGTATTTATAAAGCAGGGGGTCTTATACACACGGAGCAGGTTTCAACCTGCTGTCATTTTGTTTGGTAGTCAGTCAGCAGATAATGGCCATACCACAGTTTATTTTTAACTGAGCCTATTGGGAAATTAAATGTGTGCAAGATTTGCTCCGTCTTTGCTTTGGGAGGAAGTGAAGTGTCTATGTTTAAGATCCCCAAATGTATCAGTTGACATATCAGCTTTATTAAGTAATACTGGAGTCTGTCCACTATTACTTCAACTCATGCTTCACGTTTGCCTGATCAGTGTTTGCTTTTTTCTGTCATTAAACAAGTTTTTCTGAGAAGCTTAACGTGTATGGATCAGCATTTAATTAAAATATGTAGTACCAGCAGATATGTCATACCAAGGGAAAGCTCTTGTCAGAGTTGTTTTTTAAATTAAGGATATTCTAATTTTTTCTCTGTCAAAATAACATATGTTTAAATTGGTGATATCATCCAACTGTCACGATGACAACATGTACTTTGGTTTGTACTCAGTCTCACCAAATGTTTCTTCTCCAGGTGAATCTAAATGTGAAGCAGGGAGGGAAGCGACTGGAGCATCAGGGAATCCGCATTGAGTTTGTTGGACAGATCGGTGAGCCTGACTAAACTGGTGGATTTATCATTATCTCTCTGTTAAGTCTTTATTTTCCTGTCGTTCACAGGAGGTATGAAGAGGTAACTTATTGTAATGATGATAACTGTTGTAACTGTTGTAATGATGATAAAACAGCCTAACCATTATGTTGCTTTGTTAGTGCTGATGGATATGTTCTGTTTAACACTGAAAACCTCTATATTGCCTCATGTAGCTAGTTCCATGAACTATTTGAAATGCTAAGGAATTTATAGTTAGAAAACCTGAAAGTCACTCGAGGGTTTTACTGAGCATGTGTTCATCATGTGCAGCCTGCCACAGTGGCTACTATTATGTCTGCTCTTATGGTGCTACTGCATATGTGTGTGCCTTTCCCTCCGCCTTAAATCCTCTTGACTCTGTGTATCACAGTGCACTGTGCTTTATCACCAGAGATAGGATAGACTGTTATGTCTTTTATGATTAGATAGTTATCTTTAACAGACTGAAAGAAAGGGCATTGTATATTAGGCTCTGCTGCAGAACCTCTGGTCTATGACAAATGCAGCACTTAGTGCCAGCTCACGGGTTATTTGAACATTTGAAAACTGGTTTCAGATCATGTACTCCCTACAAATAGAATGAGTTGCAGAAAAAATATAAATCTCTTATTTCACTGGAGTGTTTTATAAGACTCAAGTATTCAAAATTTTATTTGCAAATGCTTTTTATAGTGTGAAATTGTACATGTCTCTGCTACCTGATGGAAAAAAAAAATCAACTCTGCTGTATTTCAGAGCTGTTTTCTGATAAGAGCAACACCCATGAGTTTGTGGACTTGGTCAAAGAGTTGGCTTTACCTGGAGAACTCACCCAGAACAGAAGCTACGACTTTGAGTTCATGCAGGTGGAGAAGCCCTACGAGTCCTACATGGGAGCAAATGTCAGGCTAAGGTATACTAATAACACAGTATTAGGGAGATGAGGCAAACTGCACCTTTATATTTATATTATTATTCACCTGGGATGTATTGATGCCTGCGTATCCACTGACTCCATTGGTGTGATCCAGGGATCACACCAATGTAGCTTTCATACAGTCTAAATTGTTAAAATGTTTTGATTTAGTGGGATATAAGACTGCAGTGTTTATGTATAAAGCCAGGAACAATTTATTACCTGGTGGAATTCAAAAACTATTTAATGAAAGGGAAGGGGGATACAATTTAAGGGGTCAGTTAAATTTAAAAATTCATGCTATACGTACAACCAAAAAAAGATTTTGTATTTCCATAAGTGGGGTAAAACTATGGAATAACTTAAGTGTAGACATAAAAAACAGTACTAGAATTGACAAGTTTAAACATAAATATAAAGGTATGTGTCAATCAAGATATATGCAAGAACAGGCTCAATGATTAACTGTTGTGGGTGTGATGTATATTTTGTAACCATTCTTTAGTATATCACTTGTGTGATGTAAGAATGTTAATACTGTTATATTCTTTTTAGTATAATAGGTGAGTGTGTAGAAGTGAATCATTTATTGCTTGCAAACCAATGATGGTAAGATGATGTCATGGGGTAGGACTGGATAAGTCTGACTTCTTCCTACTCCATTCAAGCATGTACTAGGTATAAGCAAATTGAGTCACAGGCTAATACAGTGGGGCATCATTTTGGGTGACTGGCTCTTTAAGCATATGGTGTCTGTGTTCTTTATGCAGGTATTTCCTCAGAGTGACAATAGTTCGTCGTCTGTCTGACTTAGTCAAGGAATACGAGTTAATTGTTCACCAGTTAGCCACTTATCCAGACATCAACAACTCGATCAAGATGGAGGTCGGCATAGAAGACTGTCTTCACATCGAGTTTGAATACAATAAATCCAAGTAAGATCAGCATCACTAACTTCTCTGCTGTAGTCTCTTTTTCCTGCCATAGAAAGCTACAAACTGTACCTGCTCCTAAGTCAGTGTGAGCAGCTTTTCTCAATATGTCTCTTTACTAGATATCACCTTAAGGACGTGATTGTTGGGAAGATATACTTCCTACTGGTCAGGATCAAGATCCAACACATGGAGCTACAACTCATCAAGAAAGAGATAACAGGCATAGGTACGAATCCATGGTAGTCCATCTATCCATTATTTATACTAAATATTCCTGAACAGGGTCGTGGGGCGGGGGGGCCTGGAACCTATTCCAGCTGATTTTGGGTAAGAGGCGGGGTTTATCACAGGGCTGACATGTAGACAGACAACCACACACACCCACATTCACTCCTACAGGCAATTTAGAGTCACCAATCAACCTAAGCTGCCTGTCTTTGGACTGTGGGAGGAAGCTGGAGTACCTGGAGAGAACCCACGCAGGCACAGGGAGAACATGCAAACTCCACACAGAAAGGCCCTGGGCTCAAACCCGGAATCTTCTTGCTGTGAAGTGACAGTGCTAACCACTGCTCTGCCGTGCTGCCCAATCCCATGTAAATAAAGTAGCTATTCAAGCACATGGACTGAGCTGCAACCTGCCTCTATGCTAACTTTGTAGTTCATCACTTTTGAGGTTTCTCTAGCTGTAATAGTTTAGTCTTCTGAAGACCAACTGGAACTCTTCCATCAGCTTTTCTCCACTTTACCACATTCTCTCCTTCTCCTCCTCTCTTTATGAAACAGTTTTCTGTATTTTTAGGTCCCAGTACTACTACTGAGACAGAGACAGTTGCAAAGTATGAGATCATGGATGGCGCTCCAGTTAAAGGAGAATCAATCCCCATCAGACTGTTCCTGGCAGGTAAGAGCTCTCATCACTCACCAACTGACATAATGTCTTATCGTCAGTGTGTCAGTTTCCCTGTTAACATCACTCTTTTTTTAGTCATTTAAATAGGCTTAGTTTGAACGACAGCCTATCACGTCTTCTGTTTCCTTACAGGATATGACTTGACACCCACAATGAGGGATGTCAACAAGAAGTTCTCTGTACGCTACTTCCTTAATCTGGTGCTGGTGGACGAAGAGGACAGAAGATACTTTAAACAACAGGTAACACAGCTACACACGCTGTATAATATTCTACTTCAGTGAGCTAATAGATTATTTATAATTGTTTCTCTGTCACCAAATATGGAACATTTTCATGTGCCAGAAGTTGGCACCAAACATATTGCTTCTAAGGAAAAATCAAAAATTGCTCATTTTAGTCCACATTTTTTGACACAGTTTGTTTGGCTGCTTGTGTTAACGTGACACAAACAACCAAACAAACCTATCTTGTTGGTAGTAACATTTGCTGTATTACACTTACTCTAGTTTTGAAAACAATACTCAGGCCTACATATCATACAGTTTTCTCTCATTCTTTCATTGTACTGTAAAGTTTTCCTTCAAAACTGTTGATTACAGCGAGGATCTGTGCATTCGACCACTGTAACAGATCACTCCAAAACTGACTGTATTGTGTAACAGATCACTCCAAAACTGACTGTATTTCATAAGCTGGACATAACAAGCTAATCACAAGGTCACTTCGATTTTTAACAGCTGTGGACTTTTTAACCACTAGTAGCACTACAAAGATTTTACATGTGGGTCACCTTTTTTTTTTATCATGCAAGCACACAAGGACATGCACGCTAGCATGCGGGCAGCACAGTTCACACCCTTTTGTTAGTTTCACACTATTCAGCTTATCAACAGTTGGCGGTGGTACTGTGCCAAGAAACGTAGGTTTTAACAAGGAAGGTACTGAACAAGATGACGGCCACCGAGCAAACATGGATGTAAACAAATTGATTTTGCACATCTTTTATGAGGACGTAAATGCATTTAACATACCTGTGAAGCATACACAGTATGTTTTGGTGTGAAACACTGGATGTAAATCTTGTTTATAAGAAACCTCCCTGTCTGCGTGTCCTTCAGATGAGTTTTCCTTATGACAGCTCAGCTACACAGATGCATCTGTATGCAACTCTCTTTTCTCCCTTGGCTCATTCCCCTGCCTCTGTGTTTAGGAGATTGTTTTGTGGAGAAAAGCCCCAGAGAAGTTGAGGAAAAGAAACTTCCACCAGCGTTACGAGTCGCCCGAGTCCCGGACCCAGCCAGCTAATGTAGAGCAGCCAGAGATGTGAAAGTGACGCTATGAACTGAAAATCCACACATGCCAACCCCAACTCTTCACGGCTGAACAGCCAGAGGTGTGAGGGCTGCCCCGCCATCTCCCTGGACTGAGAAATGTCTGTATACATGAACACATACAACGTACCTTCAGACATCCCCCTCACCACATCATGGCTTCAGGACTGAAACACACCGACATATGGACGCACATGTCTACTGAATGCTACATGTCAAGTGCACATCAAACCAAGTAAGGGACAGTTAGGTAGCCTATTTGATCCCGGCATCCGAAACTGACACGCGCACATATACTCAAGCACATACAAGTGAAGCCATATGGTCTTAGTTTGCTGAATGCATAACAAAACAGGAGCAAAAACAGAAAAGATGAGATGGCTGCATCTCTTTCTTCTGCAACAGAAGCTTCTTTCCCTGTCCTCCCTCTCAGCTCCCTACAAAATGACACTTTGGAGAATCTGAATGAGCTAGCCAGTGATTCAAAGTATTCAAGACGTGGGGATCAGTGTGAATGAAGGACATGAAATTCTTGACTGCGAGTCAACACACGCTCTGCCTTTACTCACCTGTTACCTGTGTTTGAGCTACGGTGATGCCACTGTGCTCTCGTTCAGCCATCTAGATAGTGCCCAGTTTTTGTTAAGTGTGCTGCAATGGCCCACAGACTGCTCTCTTCAACAACGTGTCTGCCTAATTGGAATATGAGACTTCAGTGCAATAGATTCCATATTTAAATGTGGCTGCTGTTTGTAAAAACATCAACATTACCCTCTTAGACTTCACTTCTCATTTCATTCAACAAAAGTGTTTATTCAAGATGCACATTATCAGCGTCATTTATTTCATGCTGTTATTTAATTACAGCAGACTCATCTGGAGCTGCAACTAATGATTATTGTCATTATCAATTTGCAAATTCTCAGTGAACTGATTGATTGATTATAAAATGGGTTCATCACAGTTTTCTAACCCGAAGTGACCGCTGCAGATGTCTCGTTTTGTCTGTCTCAAACCTAAAGTGTTCAGTTTCCAGTGACATGGAGAGAACCACCCAAATGATCACATTAGAAAAGCAACAAGAGACACACAGTGTGTGGTTCCTTTAAAAAATTACAAAACAAATGGATTATTGAAACAGTCGTTGGAGTCTTGCAGCACTACAAGCGTCAACATTCAAATTCTCTGCTTGTCAAAGATTCTGCAGCTCAGTGCAACATTTCACTTTCTTGTTAAGATGATGATTTAGGTCAGTTGACTGCAGGATTGCTTCCAACTTTGTCTAAAGGCTCATTTGTATTTTTCTTAAGTGTTTCTGTGGCATGGGACCTTTCGTTTAATATTTGTGCTGTTTATTCCTGAGTAACTTTGAAAAATTTAAACCATTTACTGTTTGTTTTCTGAAGCTGTTTTAATGGTTGGTTCATCCAACAGAAGAGGAGAATTCATCTGCTCCACAGATGAAATTCTGTTAATCTCCATGTTACAGGTGTGAAGAAAGACCTCTCAAAGAGGTCTTAAAATGTCTCAACATTTGGTGAACTGAACCTTTAAGTTTTCAGACTGGCTTGGCCTGCTCTCATTTCAGTCAATGTAAGAAATAGAATATTTTCAGTGTCTAAACTTCAAAGCTTAAAACAGGTTGAAAGTTGAACACATTGTCTGGAAACGTTTACCTGATAGTGAAAGCTCTGTCATCAAAACACAAAAGTGTTTTTTTCTTTACACTTCGAATGATTCAGTAGAACAATGAAATGACACTAGCCATAATCAGCAGATTCACTGTTCTTGTTAGTTTCAGCTTCTGTTTCATAGACAGCAGTATTTTTTGAGCCTGCTGGTTCGGTAAGTTTTGAATCTTAACATATTTATGTCTTCTGTTGAAGCACTGGAAGAAATGCACTATCAGTATACTGTAAAACCCAACAAGTTCCCACTGTGATGCTCAGACCAGCAGTTCTGGTCCTGCTTTAGAGAGACACCTTCACACACAGAGAGAGTTTGGTGATGGTACTAGTTCACTGTGTGACTTTGCCCTTAAGTTATGATCTGTGGCCTGTTTTGCACTTTCCCAGCCTGTGCTGAAATGAAACATTACATCAAGGACATCTTCATCTCAAGAGATATCCCGTCTGCAGTGCAACTCGTACTGTCATTTATATAACACTACTTGTTTTAATTAGACTGACTACGTAGAATATTTTTTTGCTTTCTGTCACCTTCATGTGCAAGTCTAGGCACCATGTCATATGTTTCTTAAACGTCTGAAACCTCGGATCCACAATTCAGCTTCACTTTGCTCTTTCACGCTAGTGTTGACCTTGTATTTTGTGTTCCCTTTGTTTGTGAACAGTGTAATTAATTTGCAAGCAATGCTTTGTTTAGCCTCTGTCTGTCAGATGTATGTTCCGTCTTTTTGAACACTGTACAGGTAGGGTTTGTTTGGTGGACTTTAAATACCTTCCAAGGTAATGAAGAAACACTTAAATGCCAAAACTCTCTGCCCCGTCCTATCTACTGCATGTGAATCTTTACACAATGTCTAATCATGCCATGAAAGTGTGTGTGTGTGATATGTGTGTATATATACACCAAACCCAAATGTATAGCTAAATGAATAGTGAATAAAGCAAATTTATACTAATTGTCTCGTAAACAAAACTTTTTAAAAATTTTATTTTCCAAGCAATGATTAGAAAACCTCGGATCAATAATGCACCCCTGCTAGGGAAGACTTTTTACACCACTATTACTGTTATTAACTAAAAGCCTAGTTATCCAGAATATTTGAAAACACCTGTACGCTGGGCCTTTACATGCAAGAAAACGGATATCACAAAAATACTACATTTTAAGTAAAAAGCATGGATTCACATGTTTACTTAGAAGCACCAAAGTATTATCAGAATTATTAGTCCTTGTGCAGTGTTTTGATATTACATGCAGTGCATTATTCATTACTGATTAATTCACATCTGCAACATTGTTTTGAAATGAATGACTACAAAAAGTTATCTGGAGTTGTCCTCATTTTACCCCAATGTATTATTATTAATTTAATCTTTAACAATGCATCACATATAGAGATTGCTATGAAAAATCTTTATCTAAAACCTAGTTTCAGGGTATTTTTGAAATTAATGTACTGAAGTAAAAATAAAGACTTTTACTCTGAAATTTAGTGTCACTGGAGTACAAAACCTTTAAAGGGGAATAAATGGAGAATTGAACTTTCTTAAAAATAGTATTTAAATAAACATACTTAGCATCCACCACTGATTAAGAAGAAGAGCGAGACCCAGGAGAAGATGATAAAGCAATTCTCTGATGCAGTAAACTCATATTTTATGACAAATGATGAACCCAATCATCTGATGAAGATTTTGAAATGTATGTTTGATGTTCATTAATGCACTGGGCAATTCTAAAGCCGTTTTCTACTTGAGCGCTGCGCAAGAACGCGCGTGTTGTCCCTGCGCGTTGCGCTATGGGCAGGCGGGAGCTCCGCTGGTGCCCCCCTATTCCCTAGCACGCTTAAACAAAACGGGCAAATTGCTTTATAGGACATATACTTGGCGATTAAACGGAATAGCTCTCATTAGATTTTAAATAAAAATTGTTTTCTTGTTACTTTTATTACAGGCACATTTGTGGGCAGCTACATAGCGACGGGTCCTGTTCCACGTTGTGTTCGTAAGAAGAGAAATGTATTGATCGTCCTCTGTTGGATTTGGTGTTGTATAATCATCATGGAGTGACCGTCACATTGGTTTTGTGACCAGCCTACGGAGAGTACAAACCCATAGATACAACTATGTCAGTAAACCGATGTATGTATTTGTTTGCTGGGTTTCGACGCCATATTAACCCACGGGCTCTCCGAATCACCTCCGGCAGATGTCATGTGTCTGGACTTAAAAAACATAATGCTGGCTCTGTGGCTTGTAGTAGAAATGTTTCGTCTGAGAGTTCTTCAAAATCCCCGGACACCTCTCTGTTTGTCCCTGTTTCTCTGAAAACGGACTCCTCGGCAGACGGGGGTGTGGGATTAGAACTCAGCCAACCGCTCGATAAAAGTGAGTAAAGTCACATATGCTCACCTCTGAGTTTGACTTTAAATTGCTCATTAGGTGGTGAAAGGGAGTCAGTGTAAGCTAGTGAATCTCGGCCGCTGCTGTCAGGTTTAGCTCCCCTGTCGTGTCATGTGATCACAATATCTCTGTGTTATGTGCAGTTTGTGTGCATTTTCTAATACTGTTTCCCCTCTGCTGTTTGTGTTTGTGATTCAGGTGAACTGCTGAAAACTCTCAACCGCTTTTATAAGAGGAAGGAGATGCAGAAGCTGGCAGCAGATCATGGCTTGGATGGTGAGAAGGATAATTTCACAATACTATGTTTAAACGTTATTTCTTCGTCTAATCTGTCTACAGTTTAAGTCGCCAGTAACGGTATAACGACCACAGGGTTTTAAAATGCTGTATATCATCAACACAGTCCTGAGTGCATTCTTAATTATCTCGTCATGACACTATTTTATATAAAAATAATCACACAATAAAGAAATTCTAAATATAGTTAATTAGTGGCAATGTAATATTTTTATACATACACAAGGCAGAGCAAAGTAAACTTCATCAATACAAGATATAAGTTTTGTCTTTGGAATGAATGTATGCAGCTTCTCTGTGCTGATAAAAGTTGTCACCAACCAACATTTACTGTATTTTGTTAGAGTAAACCTCTGTAGTACAAATGAGGAAGATCAAAATCTAACGGTGAGTTCTTACATTAGTGGAAAGTCAGAGGTTTCCCATCATGCACTGAGGTCTCACAGCTATGTCCTCTGGCTCTGAAGACTGCGGCATGACACCCTTATATGTCGTGTGTGTGTGTGTGTGTGTGTGTGTGTGTGTGTGTGTGCGTGCGCATGCAGCTCGTTTGTTCCACCAGGCCTTCATCAGCTTCAGGAAGTATGCCCTGGAAGTGACATCACTCCCTGCTGATCTGCACATCATCCTTAGTGATATCTGCCGCGGAGCAGGTTGGTCACTTTTCAGTGAAACCTTAGGATATGTGTGTCAGTAGAAACTCATTAAAGTTATAATTTCTTTAATTGTATTTCTGCTGCTCTCAAGGTCACATAGATGACATCTACCCATACTTCATGCGTCACGCCAAGCAAATCTTTCCCATGCTGGACTGTATGGATGACCTCAGAAAGATCTCAGACCTCAGAGTCCCGGCCAACTGGTATGTCTTATAGATTCAGAGCCAATGATGCAGGTGCTGTTAGTGCATCTCATATTGGAGCTGGTGCCAACAATGTTTTACACCTTTACTTCCATTATAAAGGTTTGACTCACTTCCTACAGTATATACATGTGTCATAACTTGCACAATGGTACCTGGTGGTTATAGTGTCTATATATGTTCACCAGGTACCCTGAGGCTCGTGCCATCCAGAGGAAGGTGATTTTCCATGCTGGTCCCACTAATAGTGGTAAAACCTACCATGCCATTCAGCGCTACCTGGCTGCTAAGTCTGGAGTCTACTGTGGCCCCCTGAAACTACTGGCCCACGAGATCTTTGAGAAGAGCAACAGTGCTGTACATATCTGCATTCTTCTGTTATCTTTTCTTAAAGTCTTATTCTGTATCAAATTTGCAACTGTAATTGTCCATGTTTCTTGTGGGAATGTTTTCATCTCCCTATGGCTGTTCGTTTTCTATTTTCCATTTTTCATTGTATTTTTAAGGTGTTATCTTTGATCTCTCCCTCTCTGTGCCCTGTTGATGTTGTCTCTTTATGTGTGCACTCCCAGGGCGTGCCATGTGACTTGGTCACAGGAGAGGAGAGGACTTTTGTGGGCTCAGAGGGTCGAGCAGCTGCTCATTTGGCCTGCACCATTGAGATGTGCAGTGTCAACTCAACTTGTGAGTAAAATACACACATAGAAGCATTTTTTGCTCAATAGCAGTATTTTAACAACAAAACTACATTGCTCTGTGGCACATTCCATTGAATCTTAACTGTTGTGTCTTTTTCAGATTAGTCTTAGAAAGGCAAAGTCTTAGCTTTTCAGTCACAAAAATGAATGAAATTATTCTTACCTTTGAAATTACGATATTTGAGGCAGGTTTTTGGCTGTAATTGCTGTTCAGATGAGTACTTGGTTAAGGCCCTTAAAGTGATAGAATGATATTTAGAGACCACACACACTCCGTTGTTTGCTTTTATGCCACTGCCAGCGACAGTCGTGGCTTGGGGACTTGTGTTTTTAGGTTGTTTGTCTGTACGTTTGGCCCATTCTCATGAACATGACATGTCGTCAACCAGAATACAGTACTTTTGACAATGCATTTCTGTTCTTTTTGATAATTTGTCAGTGTCACCTAGAATAGTTACCACAATGTTTTATTTTGTATGTCTGTAGATGAAGTGGCTGTAATTGATGAAATTCAAATGATCAGAGATCCCGCCAGAGGCTGGGCCTGGACCAGAGCACTGCTGGGTTTGTAACACACACAGTCAAACACACATGTACACACACACACAGATGAACTCTTGTACTGTCACACCTTATGAGTCATTTCACATAAAGTTAACTTTGAGCTACTTTTAAAACATTGTTTTACCTTCCACTTAACAAAGCTCATACTTTACTATTGCAGTAACGTTCGTGAAAAGCAAGGAGTGATAATGAACATTTTTCTGATTTCTGTGATGTTGTGTTGCCAGAGGAAGCTTTTAGGCAGAATCCTGACCTCTGACAACCCTCAATTGCACTAATTTTTTCTGTTAGTTTTTCAGTTCTTATAATTTTAACATTTATTTTGAATGATGATGTTTGTAACTTATGCAGCTGACTATCTGTATTCATGTAGGTCTCTGTGCAGAGGAGATCCATGTGTGTGGAGAACCTGCAGCCATAGAGTTTATCAGGGAGCTGATGTACACCACTGGAGAGGAGGTGGAGGTGAGACTAGCATGTGGCTGATGCTGATGAGCATTTTTCTTTGGGGCACTGCTCGGTCTGTGTCCTTCTGACCCTCACTCTTTTCTCAGGTCTGTACCTACCAGCGTTTAACACCGTTCTCAATCCTGAATCAAGCTGTGGAGTCATTAGACAACCTGAGACCAGGAGATTGCATTGTCTGCTTCAGTAAAAATGATATCTACTCCATAAGCAGACAGATTGAGACCAAAGGACTAGAATGTGCTGTGATTTATGGGAGCTTGCCACCAGGTGAGTGTGCGAGAGTGTGCGACATGTTATCAGGAAGATGTATACTTGGTACATGTTGTAAATGAGCTCTAGAGGCTGCTGATTCTTGTTTTATGGAGATGCTTGGTTATTCTGTGGTTTATAGGCACCAAGCTCTCCCAGGCCAAGAAGTTCAATGACCCTGATGACCCATGCAAGATCCTGGTTGCTACAGATGCTATTGGCATGGGTCTGAACTTGTAAGTGCAATTTTATATAATGAATTAATGTCAGAGCCACATCTAGTTTTCAGAATGATGTATCCTCAGGGAAGCAATAATTAATCTTTTGTGAAATCAGGCTCTGTTGTTTCATCCCATTCTATGGAGAATTGTTGTACCACCTTCTGTATATATTTTTCTTTGTTTTCATTATGAAACTCTACACTTATTTGTACATGTAAGGCACATTTCAAATGATTCTGTTGTTTGTTGGAAATTTCAGCAAACTTCACTAAGAGCTTGCCAAAGCCAGAAATCTATGAAATGGTGCACGTGACGCTAATTCTCAAGCTGTAGTCACAGTGTACTGTACTGTAATGGACAAAGTCTGTTTTAAATATTGTGTAGCTTGCATCAGCTCAGCTCACATTTATCCATTTGTCTCTATGTCTTCCACCGTCTCTCCAGGAGTATAAGACGTATTATCTTCAACAGTCTGGTAAAGCCTAATGTTAATGAGAAGGGGGAGAAACAGATGGAGCCCATCAGCACATCACAGGCTCTGCAGATAGCTGGCCGCGCAGGAAGGTCTGTCCCATTTTTGCTTATACCATCTCATTCTGGAGGGTTAAGGGCAGGTCTAGTTATTCTGGAGTGTTGAGACCTCTCGCCTCTCACAGGTTCTCATCCAAATTTAAGGAGGGAGAAGTTACCACCATGCACCGAGATGATCTGCCTGTCCTGAAGGAAATCCTCAGCCACTCGGTGGAGCCCATAGAGGTGATCATTCACACAGACACGGGCCATGCGCTCAAACAGACTCTGTTAGGTAAACCCTGAAAACCAAGCTTCACTGTGCAACACACATGCAAACAAACAATATGACACACAGGTGGTTTTTCCTGATGTGTATCTCCCCTTTGTCTCAGGCTGCAGGTCTCCATCCTACTGCAGAGCAGATAGAGATGTTTGCCTATCATCTACCTGATGCTACACTGTCCAACCTTGTTGTGAGTATATTCATCACTTTTAAGGATGGTAGCAACGGCATGAGGAAAGTTATCACACTGAGTTGGAAAACTGGGACAATATTAAGCTATGATACTAAACAGTGAAGGGTTGTCATAACTTGATAAATGCTGTACACTCGGTGTTTACATTATCGGTAGATCTTGAGCTTCACTGTATTCTTGATGTTGGAAACAGTAGTTTGTGGAAAAAAAAAGGTGTACTAACTAAGATTTTACACATTGTCTGATAAATCCAGAGACAACGGGACAGGACGCGTTGTCTCATCTACACTCCCCCCTCCATGACCCTCTGCTGCCTACGGCCATTCTGTTTTTATTGCAGCTTCTCTGCCCTGTGTTGTCAAAGTACGGTCTGTAAGTTAGCCTCGCCTGCCACGTAGCCAAGGCTAGAAGAAGGGTTTTTTTGTACCATAAGTAGTCATTTCAAACAGCCAGCCATGGAGGAGCTCTTGGCAGCTAAAACATCATCATTTTGGGTTTTTGAGAGTGTTAAAAGCAGCCAAAGGACTCAGATTTCATTCAGATGTAGAAATTTTCCTTCTGGGTGTGTTAGCATCTTATGGTGTTTTCAGTTTGAACTGGGAAGTTGAGGTTTCTAAGTTCCCAGTCAGAAATTTCAACTGGAACATGCAAATTTTCCCCTTGGGAAATTGGAAGAACTTCACCATCACTAACCTCAGAATCCAAGATGGCTGCTCTGTGCATCAACGGTAAAAAGTTGTAGTAACATACTCTTTATTTGTACTTATGTCTTATTTGTGTCTCATTAAAAGTCGTACACACAGTACTGTCCAACTTCTATTTGTAAACATGTTGCTACAGGATTTGTATGCACAGAATGCCACATAATGTGTTGTTATAACCTGATATGGCTAACGGTGGCTAATTTGGCTCAAACTGGTATTATGGCTAACTGAAACTGGGGTGTGACGTTGTTCCCAGCTCCGACTTCTGAGTTCTGTGCTAAATGGAGTGTGTCATAAAGCTAACATTAGCAGCCTAGCATGGTCATGACTTTACCTTTTGTACTGAATTAATCTGGTTTTATTTTGGGAGTTATTTAAGATTTGTGTAATGTTGGTGCTTTGTGCTCAAAGGTGCTGTGAAAACAGATTGTCAGCATTACATCCACATGTCTGTCTCCATCTCTTTTTCTCAGGACATATTTGTCAGCCTCTCTCAGGTGGATGGTCTGTTTTTTGTCTGCAACATTGATGACTTTAAGTTTCTAGCAGACATGATTCAACATATCCCACTCAACTTGAGATCACGCTATGTCTTCTGCACTGCACCCATCAACAAGAAACAACCATTTGTGTGCACCTCTTTCCTAAAGGTAAGGATGAGTTGAACGGAGCAGCAGCAACAGTGAGTGTAAAAGTAAAAAGTATTCATTAATAGTAACAACAGTGAGTGGGTGACATAGTGAAAGACCAAACAAAACACTGACTTTGTAGTCATCAACCATTCTGTCTCACTTTTGCTTAATCAGTTCTAGGCATATACTAATTTAGTTTGAGAATTGTTCATTGTGTTTATCAGACAACACATTCAGAGTCAGTAAAAATAAAGTCCAAGGAGGGCCGAGAACTCTTTATTGCAGACTCTCTCACTTTATGATTATATCATACTCATAAAACAAGGTCCACACTAAAATGATTGTCCTCAACAGTCTTTGAGATTTAGGCTCAGGTTCTGGTGAGGTGTGCAAACTCCTTCCTGCCTGTAGAGTGGCCAAGAGGTGTGTGATGTAAATGGGAAGCAAAACATTTCATTAGTTTAATACAAAAATATTAATATAATTGGTCATTATTTTGTGAGATTAAAATATTTTTCTGAATTATGATCCTGTATTCGTCACCACTGGGTTAATGTTTCAGCACATTTCCTGACACTTCTTTGTTGTACTGGTGTGAACTGTTTCTCCTTCAGTTTGCACGTCAGTTCAGTCGAGACGAACCCCTGACGTTTGACTGGGTGTGTCGCCACGTCAGCTGGCCTCTGGCTTCACCCAAAAACATCAAAGACCTGGTTCACCTGGAAGCTGTTCATGATGTGTTGGATCTTTACCTCTGGTTAAGGTAATGGCTTTTTAATAGTTCTACTTTAAATGGGATTATTACGGGCAGTTATTGTTTATCTGTGCAGCAACATGGTACAGTGAATTTGATTAGTCGTCATCAAACTCTTCCTCACAGTATAACATTGTTTCTACAGGCAGCTCTGTTAATGACTGCTTGCCACCCTAATCCTTGTTGCTGTCTTTGCAGCTACCGTTTCATGGACATGTTTCCAGACACAGCCTTGGTTCGAAAAATCCAGCATGAACTTGATGAGATCATCCAACAGGGCGTCCGAAATATCACCCGTCTCATCAGAGCCACTGACCCAGCGATCACTGACCCCCTGCAGTCACAGAGTAGCAAGCGAGGACAAACGGGCCGTAACAGTAGAACTGCCAGCAGTAGTTATTTGACTGGGGGTCAGAGGGACAAGGGAGGCTCAGAAACGCGGATGGACAGCTCTCTGGCAGGTCGCCTGGTCAGGGATGGGCTGTTGACTCCTGGTCTGCTCCAGCAGCTGCAGAGAGAGTGGTCTAAAGATCAGAACATGCTCCATGGAGAACCTCTGAGCAATAACAGCAAAGCCATAAGTAGAAAGAAGAAGAAATGAAGAGAAACAATTATGTCTTGATGGTGGGACATGATCATTACTGTGCCTGTGGAAATCAATAACCAATACCAGGCTTGGATCATATCTGGTAGCTTGTGTAAGTTAACCATCACTTCAGGCAGTTAGAAGGGACCTATGCACAGTTTTCAATCCTGCAACCATCAGAAATAAGCTTAACCCGAGGTATGAAAATAAAAACTCCAAAATGTAGTTTGATGGTCTGGTCTGAGATTTATACCTGAACCCTGAGTCATAAAGGTTTAATGTACTTGTCTACTTATTTAGTGCTAAAAACTCACCCTTTATATTTCCTTTCAGCTTACAAAGGTACAAACTGTAGCTAGTGCTGGAAAATGTTTCTAGTTTTGGTTCCTGTGACCTACTTATCAGGTAGCTGGTGAGAGAATCTCTCATGTCAGTGGGAGCATCAGATAACACACAATCACCCTGGGCACTAATTTAAAACAGGCAGTTTACTCACCTGACTTGGATTTGACTTTGAAGAAACTGACCCATTGTTGTGGATCATTATGGGAAACATCATGTTCACTTGGAGCTACCGCTGGCCCACAAATGAATTATGTCTAACGTGAACATGCTGTCAAGATTTCCACTAGACAAAACCAAGTGCCGCTCTGTTAGTGTCTATATACATATGGGATGCCATCTTTTTTCTTATTTGTATATTTAAGGTGATTTGTCAATAAAAGTTTATAGTTTTTACTGTTGGTATTTTTTTATAACCTTGGTTAACAAAGTAATTATGACACATGAAAAGCTAATTGAAGTAACAATTATTGCTTAAAGGTGGGTCACATTGTTGAATAGCAATTGGTCATTTATAAAGAAATATAAGGGAACAAAAGGCTCCAAAGAGAAAAGACCTCGGGGCAGTTAAAGGCCCAGCATCACATATAGACCTGTCACTTGTTGCACGTGTCTTTAGAGTTGTTCAGCATCTCTTGATGGTAGTTTTGCATTTGTTTGTGATTGTTTTGTGTCTCGTATAGTTATTTTTTGAGTCTTTGTAGTTGTTTTGGGTCTCATCGGGATATTTTGCAGCTTCTCGTGGTCATTTTGAGTCTTTCTGGTCACTGTGTGGCCTGTGTCCAGTAGGCCTGTTTGGTAATCCATCCATGGATTAAACCATATGTAAGAGAATTCCATGTGTATTGGTTTAAAGAAGAGGGAACCATTTGTATGCTAGTGGGGAAAAATTGCGATCATGACAGACTTGCACCAAAGACAGGCAAAGAAGATGAACTTCTTCTTCTTCTTCTTTCGGCTGTTCCCGTTAGGGGTCGCCACAGCGAATCATCTGTTTCCACCTAACTCTAT